CCATACAAGCTAATTGTTCTCCCAGTGTACTCAGAATGTCATCAGACCCCCATCCATCATTCTCCGTTTCACAAACATGTTCTTTTTCCATCATTCTGTTAGTATGTCGTATGTTGCTGACTTTTGGTGACAATCTGGACTGACAAGGGGTTTAGCCCATAGGGGGCTCTAACTCATCAGTATTGATTAGTGAGACAGCGCCAATGACCTCTGTGGTATTTCCTTCTTCAACCTGTGTTTCAGGTGAGGAAATCTTGCCTAGAGCATCCACGAGGGCGCGCTGTATTTCTCTCACTTACACATACAATTTGTTAGTACAGTTCATTCATTCATCACCCATCTCTTAACTGCGGAGCGTGTGATGATTTCCGCTTATTCAACTAATCTCTATTAGTTGTGATATGAAAAAATCTATGTGCTTTTACACTTATTCTTTACTATCTGCTCTGTAAGTGCAGATGATATATTGCTAAGCCTAAAGAGACTTATTTACTCTCATTTGGAGTTTATTATGTCTCTTTTATTATGTAATTCAAGTTAATCAGTCAGCTCCATCTGTTTTACCGACAAAGCTGATTGAGACTTGACATTCATACAGCGTGTTTTCTAACTATAGTGTGTGTTTTGTGTCAAAAAATACAGTTTCATAACCACATTGCTCATTTCATGCAGAAACAGCCAAAAAACATTGCTCATTTACGCAGACACAGCCAAAGCACGCAGAAATAGCCAAAAGCACTGCTCTCTTCACACAGAAGCAGTCAAAACATTTATCATCTTATGCAAAAACAGTTACCTCAGAACATTTTTCTCATCTCATGCAAAAGGCCCTTGACCTTTAAAATCCAGGGAGCTCTCATTAGCCTCCCCTTCCCTTAACACAAAAACCAGGTCCTTGACCTGTGGACTTTTAGGGTTCCCACACCTATGGATCCAGCCAAGCTTTATATAACCTCGTTATATATTCTATCCGCTCGTCAGCAAATAGTGTGGTCAGCCACGACCTGGAAATGGAATTTAGGACCTTGTCCTGGGCCTCCAACCCTTCTTTAAATGGAATTTAGAGCTTATTAATGCTCTGGGCCTCCAACCCTTCTTTAAATGGAATTTAGAGCTTATTAATGCTCTGGGCCTCCAACCCCTATGGAATTTAGAGCTTATTAATGCTCTGGGCCTCCAACCCCTATTTCTGTACTATTTCCTTATCTCATTTACTCATTAAACTATTAGAAAAATCCTCATTTCATTTCACCATTAAACCATTACAAAAAATCTCTTATTCTCCTGCACTTGTCTCCACTTTCTTCTCCAACTATTATTTTAGGACCTCAGCTACTGTGATTCTGGACACAAATGCTTTGGATAAATCCAATGAGCAGATTTTAGGAAATAAGGCCTGCTTACCTTAGTTTTTCACCGCGGTGTTTTTGTGCCAAGATCTGTTCGCTGGGTCGGTTGGTCAAATTGTCCTCCAAAAACTCCTTTTTCTTCAAAAAGAAAAAATCCTGTTCGTGACGCCAAATTTGTTGGTCTCTCTTCCGTTAGACCAAGCACGGGTACGGAGTAGATGGAGTTAAACACCTTTAAAGTTGACAGAACGAGGAGACAAATGATCAGAAGTCCATTCACTGTTTCACCGCTCTAGAGGGGGAGAGCCTTTGCAACATACAGCCGGTCCCGCGACCTGCTCCCGTCAGTTGCTTCGGACAGACTCTCTCCGTTCTGCTGAAAACGGCTGATTTTTATTGAAGATTACAGGAATGTTACATACGTAGTTTGCCATACACACACGTAATTCTGCCATCTGCACCTGCAGACGCACGTCAGCTAATAGCCTTGTTAATGAAAGACCAATTCATCCCAAGGACATGCAACCTTGAGATGATCAGGACACATCCTGCAACATCCTTTGCTAACAAAGACAGTTGTTCTTGTATTGAGGAACTGAAGGAAGGAACGCTTTCACTCCCTTATGCAGCTGTTCAGCTTGAGCAGAAAAGGCACAGAGAGGTTTTCGATATTATAACAAGATTCCATGAAAAGGCATATAATAATGTATTTATGATAATATATAAGGAGCATAAGTGAGAGATACATATTTGTTCATATAAAAGAGCTTATAATAATATATGAAAGAGCTTATATGAGAGATATATATTTTCACCGGCATGCAACAGTTCAAATCGAAACGGCGCCATTTGGCAGGCAGAAGCCGGCAGCTGGACTGTTTGTTATTGTCAGAAAACTCAATCAAACGGGAAATATGGTAGATTCCTGTTGTGCCCCAGGATGCAGAACAGACACGGACGACATAAGGAATGAGCCATCTACAGGATTCCCCAAGATCCGGAGCGCCACAAACGTTGGATCATTGTAATAAAACGCGCTAGTGACCGGATAAAATGAAACTGTGGGATCCCGAGAGTAAAGGATTTCGCTTATGCAGCAACCGCTTCATATCAGGTACTTAAACCAACGTTTCCTCAACTGTGTATGGTGTTTATTTTAAATGCTTTTATTACGATTCTTAGTGGGCTTCCTAAACTTATTTTGGCGTGGCTTTTTCTGTCTTATTACTCATAGCAACAAGTAAACATCACGTAAAACGTTACCTCGTGATTTCTGCGTGCTGCCGTTTACGTGTTTTATGATCACAGCAATTAACCGGCTAAGCTGTATTTAATTTTTAAGCCATGGTTGATCAATTGTCAGATCACACATAAAAAGCACTTTGGATTGCTATTATCTGTCTCACCGAGACAGCTCTCAGACAGATCATGAGACGTTCCTGCCTGACATATTTATTTTATTCACGGAAAACAATCAAACTAGTGATTTCTCTTGGCGTTCAGTTTATACATTCAAACAGCACAGCACTCTATTTAAACTACTTACATGTAAATCTGTTATTTGTCCATCCATCCATCTATTTTCATCCGCGTATCCGGAGTCGGGTTGCGGGGGCTGTAGCGTCAAGAGTCCCTGACTTCCCTCTCCCCAGCCGCCGGAGCCAGCTCCTCCGGGTAAATCCCAAGGGGTTCCCCGGCCAGGTCCGATAAGAAGTCCGCTCCGACAGCTTCTGGCATTTTTAAAAAGTATCCCAGGGGCACGGTAAGGGTCGGAGATGTTTAGTCTATTTAATTTCTGACTATATAAAATGATTTCTTCGGTTTTAAAGTGTGAAGTAAACTCTGACGAAGTAAAATCCAAGCGGATCCCGTTCACGTTCATGGTTACATCCGTGTTTGTTTACCTTTTTTTTCCTGCCAAAATGGCGTCTACTAACTCAGAGTCACGTGGGGTCCGGAGCTCTATAGGTGGGGAGAGCAGAATAAAGTGAGAGTGGTAAAGAAGATCATTCAAAAGCCAGCTTGAACAAGTTGGGACTGTGTTGTGGTGGTTCAACCCGATTTCCACAGAAGCTAGCGATGGATAGCTGCCGCTCTCGGTGGCTAGCAGCAGCCTTGTGGCTAGCATAACACATGTGCGACCTTAAAGGCACAGTCCGCAGGATGACGCCGTCAGGATGAGGAGGAGATTTTTAAATTCGAACGGCTGTTGCTCACTCCCCCGCCCTTCCTGAAAGAGCCGAAAGCCACACCTCCCAATGTGCACGCGCAGGAAAAGCAGAGTCAACATCGGAACATTGCTTCTTGTAATAGAGCTGAGCTAGTGTTAGCAATGGAGTTATCTGAGGTAAGAAAGTTGTATTTAACCAGCACATTAAACACTTACTGTTTACAAAAGGCATTTTATAAAGAATATCTATAAATATATTTATATTTTAAAATACCAGTAACAGTTGGCAATCTATATTGTAAATAAAATTAATCCTATCAAATTGTTAGCATTTTATTACAAGTAACTAGCTTATTTTTAATTGCTTTGCCATTCAAGATGGGATGAATATATCAAAGCATATAAATAATTTATGTGGAAATCATGAATAAACATTGCATTCTGTGTAGTCCTCCTATAATCATGGTTGTTTTCATAGGGTTTCTGTTTATTGTTGGTTTAGCCCAAATTTTGACTAGATGTAAACCTGATCTGTGTCAAAATTGATTAATATGCAAGAGTACTTTTTATATTAGTATAATTTTTTTTTATTCTAATACAATTTAGAGTTCAGTGATTGAGGAATCCTCTGAGGAAGAGTTTGAACCTCCTATTGCATCCTCAAGACGTGGTGCAAAAAGGAGATGCACACCATCATCTCAAAGCTGTGGTGCATCCAGAGGCCGTGGTGCATCCAGAGGCCGTGGTGTGTCTAGAGGCCGCGGTGCATCCAGAGGCCGTGGTGTGTCTAGAGGCCGCGGTGCATCCAGAGGCCAAAGAAGTGTGAGACACTCAGCTGTGGACCTTGGAGATGAAGATCTCTCTCGAGTTCGGAATCTTTGTTCTGAGCGAATAGACTTTGAACGTGTAAGCATAACTGTTGCTGTAGCATCTCTTTCCACTTTTGTAGCAACACATACAGAACCTGAACCCTCAGCAGGCTATTGACATCCTTACCATGGTGCTGGACAGACACTGGTGTTCTCTTTGATGTACTTGCCCTCTCTGGTCCACCTGCCACAACACCTCCAACACCCAATCAACCTTCATGGTGTGTATGCTCCCACTGCAGAGATATACCAACTGATTTGGAAAAGAAATGCTGCCAACAGCCTCCCCAGACATGTATTTCAACTGTACCACACATGGAGGAGTTTATTCTGCAAAATTCCCTGACCCCAATGGTAACTACACTGGTTTTATTCCAAGACGATTGTAAATAAATGTATATATTTGATATTTTACATAAGTTTGTTTTTATATATTTTTGTTTGATGCTCTAATAAAGTGTTCTAAAGCACAACTCTGTGTTGCATTTGTAAAAATACCATAAATTTTAAAACTCCTGCACAACAACAAAAAATTATGTCTACCTCCAACATTTTACATAAATTTTTAAATTAATAGTCCTTATTTCCCCAAAATATATCTTTATTTTCAAAAAAAAAAAAAAAAAAACACAGGAAACAAAAATAAAGAAGGTTTTGGGTTTTCTCTTGCCTCCCCCAACACCTATGTCTGTGGCAAAGTTTTACCTGTAAATAAAAAATAAACTCAATTAGCATTGGACTATTGTGTGGAAGATGTAAGGCAGATAATGTTTTATTTTACCATCACCGCAAGTCCGTAGGTGTTGTAGAAGTTCCTCTGTTGATGGTGCAGGAACTCCGGACAGCAAACCATAACGCCTTGGATCCTCAGGCCTTAGCTTGTAGCGTCGAGGAAGACCTTTCTTGCTTGTCAAAGGTCGGTCAGTTGCTTCTGGGATATTACAGTCATGAACTGTATCCTCTATGTTAATTTCTTGCAGAGTCTCAAGTTGTAATGTTTTTTGTAATGCTGTTCCAGTCCTGTGAACAAAAGCTTTTTATTAACTATGCGCTATTGCAGTTTTATAGAACGTTAAACGAAAGGAATTACCTTATGTGTATATAAGGTGTGTAGTCCTCATCACCGCTGTCATCAGTACCGCTGTCCATCTCGATGGTTTCGTCCTCCTCTGAAGACGAATCAACTTCTGGTTCTCTGTTTGGTGACCATGTGTCATCTGATGACTCTATCCTGAATATACACAATATAAAGTTTTTAGTATGGAAAATTAGACACATTTTATTAACACCTGAATACTTACACAGAGTTTTGAATATTGTTGAACTCTTCCTCGTCAATGTTTGCTTCAATTCCCACACAAGATAACCTAAAAAAGTAATTATTGTTTACTTTTCCTGACAAATGTGACAGCCAAATACAGATACAACCTTGTACTTACATTTGTGAAGATCCTTCTTTTTTAGTTTCACCTTGTTCCATCACCTCCTCCAAATTATCATCCCTATGAAAATAAAATACAAGCACAAGAATATGATTAGAATCAATACATATTTTGTCATTTTTAAGGTAATAGACCTCGTCTATTGGCCGTCATCATCACCCTCTCCTTATTTTTCTCACTCTACTTATTACGCATTTCTCTGTATCCACTGAATTCCTTCTTTACAAATAATTTCCTGTCTCTCTCTTTACATTTTAAAAACACAATTGTGTTATTTTTTTCTCATAAACTTTGAAATAAAAATATAATTTTTTAAAATATGTCTAATTTTGTTGTTGTGAAGTGTCTCAAGAGTTTTATCTTGAGTGGCGCTATATAAAATGTAGTTTTACTATTTATTTCTATACATTTTTTATAGTCATTCATTATCCCATTTCTAGAATTTTTTCAAAATAATCCACCACTAACTTAAAACATTGTTTATGTGTGGGGACTTTAACATTAACTTAGAACATCCTGTGGCTCTTAGAACATCAAGTGATTTTTTTGATATGATATATAGTTTAGGTTTGGTTCCTTTGATAAACAAACCTACCAGGATCACAACCCAAAGTGCAACAATAATTGATAATATATTCACTAATAGAAAGGAGGACGTTGTTAAAACTGGGATATTGATGACAGATATTAGTGATCATTTACCTATTTTCGTAGTGTCTAAATATCACAATAACAATAAAAATATCATAAAACATAATTGTATTAATTATAAAAGAAATAAATCAGTTAAAGCCCTGGAGGACCTAAATAAAGATCTTAAAATGCAGAACTGGATGGAAGTCTATGTCAGTGATGTGAACAATGCATATACATCCTTCATGAAAATACTGCTGAAATCGTTTAACAGTAGTTGTAAATTAATTAAAATAACAGGTAAAAGGGACAACCAACCATGGATGACTAATGGAATTAAAAATGCATGTGCCAAAAAAAATAGTCTGTATATGAGATTCTTAAAGTTACAAACAAAGGAAGCCGAAGACAGATATAAAAAATATAAAAATAAATTAGTAACAATAATTAGAAAACAGAAGAAAGAATACTATGGTGAGCTATTGAATAAGAACAAAGAAAACATCAAGACTACATGGGGAATAATAAATAATGTGATTAACAGAGATAATACAAATGCGAGACTCCCAAACTACTTTGTAAAGGACAATAAAGACATTTATGAAGTTAAAGAAATTTCTAATGAATTCAATGATTTTTTTATAAATGTAGGAAGGAGTCTGGTGGAAAGCAAACCAATAATTCACGATACAATGAATACAATACCTAGAAATGTCAATAGTATTCTCCTTGACAAAGTAGATCAACAAGAAATAAGAAACATTGTAAAAAACTGGGGAAGCAAAAGATCAACTGATTGTGATGATCTGGACATGGTGACTGTAAAAGCTATAATTGAATCTGTTATTGAACCATTCACTTACATCTGTAATCTGTCACTATCTACAGGAGTCTTCCCTGATTTAATGAAAATTGCCAAGGTGGTTCCATTATTTAAGAGCGGTGATAAACAGAGTTTCACTAATTACAGGCCAGTGTCACTGCTTCCACAGTTTTCCAAAATATTAGAAAAAGTGTTTGCATTAAGGTTGGACAAATTCATTGACGAAAATTCAATTTTAAATCATGAACAGTATGGCTTTAGGACCAAACATTCAACAGCAATGGCAGTTATGGATTTAGTAGATAAAATTTCATCAGCAATTGACAATAAAAAACATTTCATTAGTGTTTTTATTGACTTAAAAAAGGCATTTGATGTCATTGATCATTCAAGGTTACTTCTTAAATTACACCGGTATGGAATAAGAGGGGTGGCGCATCAATGGGTTAATAGTTATTTACGCAATAGAAAACAGTTTGTTCAAATAAATAATGCTAAATCTGAATTAAAAGATATTTATTATGGTGTACCACAAGGGTCAGTCCTCGGACCTAAACTGTTCATATTGTTTATTAATGACCTGGTAAATGTGTCGAATTTACTTGGCACAGTTTTATTTGCGGATGATACTACATTGTTTTATTCAGGATTAAATATACATGAAGTAACTCAAGTGATAAACAGTGAATTGATTAAAGTTAAAAAATGGTTTGATATAAATAGACTGTCACTGAACCTGAACAAAACAAACTATATACTGTTTAATAACAAAAGAAGCTGTGATGTATCTTTAATGATAGATGGAATGGAAATTCAAAGGGTAAAAGAAACCAAATTTCTTGGAGTCATGTTCGATGAGAGTCTCACGTGGAAATCACATGTAGGTTATATAAAGGGGAAAATTGCCAAAGCCATAGGGGTATTATATAGAGTCAAGTTTCTACTAAATTTGTCGGGGTTGTTAACATTGTATCACTCACTGATTGAACCATATTTATTTTATTGTTTAGAAATTTGGGGAGCCACTTGCAAAACTTTTACACAACCATTGATCATTTTGCAAAAAAGAGCATTGAGAATCATTAATAACAGTAACTATAGAGATCACACTAATCAATTATTCATTAGATACAAAATACTGAAATTTCCTGACTTGGTAGAGTGGAAAATATTGCAAATAATGTACAGAGCGAATACAAGTAATCTACCAACTAATATTCAGAAAATGTTTCATAAGAGAGTAAGTGGGTACATGTTAAAAGGAACTGATGTCTTTGAGAAACCTAGATTCAGAACCAAAGTGAGGGAATGTAACATTTCTGTAAATGGTGTAAGATTGTGGAATGCCATTAACAAGGAATTTAAAGAATCAACTACACTTGCAATATTTAAAAAATGTATAAAATCTAATGTATTTAGTAATTATGAAAAGAAGAATTATAATGTCAAAGATTAGACGTGAAAATATTATAAAGTGACCGAGGTTATATTGTGTTTGTTTGGCGGATAATTTTATTTCTTAAAAAGGGGCAGAAATCATAAGATTTTTTCTTCTGTCTGCTCCTTTTCATTCAAATGTTTTTTTTTCAATATGTTAATGTATCCTGTATTTGTTTGTGTTTATTTTATACATTGTGAATGAAATAAAAGATAAAAAAAAAAAAAAAAAAAAAAAAAACAAACAGAGGCAAAATTATAATATTCCTGGTAGAGGTTTTTACGCAGCTATTTACCTTTCAGATGATTCTCCATGAATGCTAGACAGAGCTGGCACTGGTGTTGGAGAAATACACAGTTGGCGCTTCAATGGTGTAGATGTTGATGCTTCATATTTGGACTGATGACTGTAAAAAACAAAGCCCAAAAATTAGTGATCACAAGCTAAGCAAGTCTCCCCAGCCTTCACAGATTTTTGCACGAGCTGATTATCATTCCTTTTATTTTAATATGGAGTTTTCACGTAGGTAAGACCACAAACTCAGACGGTAATCTGTACACGTGGCCCACCCAGGTTAGCACAATATGTCTTTCAGTGCTAATGGAAACGTAAGGTTTTGGATACGTTCCTGATCAATCACACCTAATTCTAACTGCTGAATCATCTCCTCAGACTTCTACAAGTACTACATGGTAAATGGCCTGTATTTGATATAACGCCTTCTACAGTTCTTGAAACCCCCCAAGGCGCTTTACAACACAATCAGTCATTCACCCATTCACACACACATTCACACACTGGTGGGGATGAGCTACAATGTAGCCACAGCTGCCCTGGGGCGCACTGACAGAGGCGAGGCTGCCGAGCACTGGCGCCACCGGTCCCTCCGACCACCACCAGCAGGCAACGTGGGTTAAGTGTCTTGCCCAAGGACACAACGACAGCGACAGACTGAGCGGGGCTCGAACCTGCAACCTTCCGATTACGGGGCGAGCACTTAACTCCTGTGCCACCGTCGCCCTCTGAGCTGCTGATTACTCATTTTAATCAAACACGCAGCTCAGGCAAGTGTAAACACCTAATTCAGCTTTCAAGATGCTAACTGAACCCCGCTAACGGGGAAGTTATAAACAAGAGCTTAAAACAATATACTGATGTGGCCTATAGTTAAACGCCACACTAATCATTAGCTCCCATATAAACAAAAAACTAAAATCCCCTTTCGTTACTCATACTTCTTCCAAATATAGCATAAATAGTTCGACTAGCATCGATTCATGTCGACTTAGCATTCAAGCTAATGCTACATTAGCCAATAGGACACCAAGCATACAAAGCTTGTTTGCTCTATTACTTCTTTCAGTGAAAGAAAGATTATAAGTAAATTTATCCGAAAAACAATAAATAACTTACCTGTCTAAAATATACTTTGCCAACTCTTCATCCGTTTTCAGGCCGTGTAGATCACGAAAATCTCTCCATCATGTGTAAAACAATCTCCAATGTAAATTCTACTCGACTGTCTTAAATGTCTTACAGCCACTTTTGAAGAAGGGCTTTTAAACTTTTTAAATGTTTTTTGAGATGTGGAAGGCAGTCGAGGAATCGGTAATTTGGGGTTTTGTTGCTCCATGTTTCTGCAGTAAGCCGAGTGAGGCGCGTGACACTGTTGTGCACGCTGAGACCTGCTCGTGCTCGATGATTGACAGCTGCCCCCTGGTGG